TGGCATCCCAGCTCAAGCAGAAGGACTGGTTTATACTCGTATGATCATTTGCTTCACGGAAAGAAAAACTAGTAATCACAAGGCTGAGATAACAGGGGATTTTTCTGCAGAAAAAGATGACATCTCAAAAAAGAATCAAGCTACTGTATGATCATCCAGATTTCCAAGTAGTAATGAAAAACAGTTTTTCCATAGTTAGGTCCTGAGTTTTATACTCCCTGCCTCATGCTTGCTAATAGCAAAGAAGAGAAGGATTTCCTTTTCCTCTAGCAGAGCTAAGTAAAGCACGCCCTACTTAGAGACCTCACATTTCCCTTTTTCATAATCCACTGCAATCATCTATTTCGGGCAAAAGATAACAACCAGACAAAAAGATACTTAACAAAAAAAAAAAAAAGAAAAGAAAAGCAGCAAGCACAACCTATTTATCTCATGGTCAAGCAGCACAGTCGGTCCCCTGAGGCCACAAAGCAATGCCATTTACCCAGGTACAGTTTCTGGTTATGATCATTATCTTTCTTACCCTCCCCGCAAGGACGTGGAAGCTCTGTGGCACATATTTCTCATAGGTTAGAGTATTTACGTCAGCTCTAACGTTGAAGAAAACCAACTAAAATGACGCGGCTGACTTGGCAGAGAAACTCAGGCCACATGTTGCCTGTTTGAAAGGCAGGAGAGGACAGCTCAGCAGATGCAGCATAGGAAAAGGCGGGGGAATGCCTGCGATGCAACGCACTCCTGTGCAAACCCCTGAGGCGACCGTGGTGTAGCAGCATCGTGCCCCCCCCCCCCCCCCCCCCCCCACCGCCTCCAAGATGGACACAGCGACTTTCACCAGCATTCTATACCAGTTCACCCAGCCTCAAGTCAACCTGACAGCATCCCTAGCATTAGGGCAGCCAGGCAGGAAACCTTGTGGTCGCTAGCACCACTCAAGTGGGGGCACCCAGGCTTTGTATCCAGGGTGCTGAGAGAGGTTAGGTTTTTCCAACCTACACAAGTAGTAAAAGATGCTAAGGCACGTTTTCTAACCCCTAGCATCCCATCTTCCCGCTCTATGCTCAAGCTAGAGGCGGTTAACAACACCTGAAGGTGTTTACTTTTTATTATAAATGAGATTTCTATTTTTCCCACAGCAGGACTTTTATTCATTACTTTTTTTTTTTTTTTTTTTTTTTGGTGCTGAATTATTGGGGGTGGAGAGAAGAGAAACAGTCCAGTCATAAAAGGAACTGAGAGACTGCATGTGTAAAGTCAGGTAAAATTAGAAACTAGTCCTGAGGGACTTTCTGAAGAAAAACATGAGCCTCTAGATGCTCTAGTCTTCTGTGGTTAAAGACAAGTATGTACCAGGATTAAACTAATTCACTCACTGATAACGTTTTCATGCATAAGGCATCTGTACAGTTTAGATGAAATGCAGCTTTCCATAAGCCCCAGCTCTGCTCTGTTCTTCAGAATGTTCCCAAACTACAGCACAATACGAGTAATACCCTCAGCAGTTTCACTACTACCCAAAAAGCTGTGAATAACAAGAAAAAGTAACTACAACCTGCATATTCTCAGTTCTGTGCCTTTAGTGCTTGAGAAAAGGTGCAGACCCTTCATTCTTCCCTGTATCTACCAAATTCTAAACACTAAATTTTTATATAATAAGAACAGTGTCTAGACTGTGTAAAGCTGATTTTTTAAATTAAGCAGCAATTTATGCATTACATTTCCACCACTGGTAAAAAAAGGTGTGTATTTGCCAACAGGGAATTCATTCTTCCTTTTTATCCCTAAAATCCTATACTAGAATCTGTGGTGGGCACTCAAGTAATGTTTTAAATCATTCTATACAATCCAGGTATGTGAAAAAATTATATCACTATTTAAATTCTCAATTAAAACAACTGTTTTTTATCTACAGTGGAAAAATAAAACTAAATGTGAGCACTTATGTCAGTTGCTAAAGCACAAGACTCCTCCAGTTCTACCATAATTTCAACATAGTCACATGAGTAACTAGCTTGCCAAGAGTCTATTTCTCTATTTATCACGAGTAGCTTTTCCTCAAACCCCTTTTTCTGAGAAGCGTGTGGCTTGAAAGCATCCTTGTATCTACCATATTAAAATAAGAGTAACTGGATACCAGACTTCTGAGCTTCTGAGGGATTTTTTTGTGTCAAGGATCAACAAAACAGAAAATGAACAAAACTTACAAGAAAAAATTTAAGAAAACCAAATCCAAAGCCCAAACCTAACCAAAACCCGCACAGACTGGCTCAACACAATCATACATCCTTAATAAAGATATCTTGTGTTGGTTCTACGGAGTAAGTTTTTGGTCTAAGTGGCAAGTAATTGTCCACCTCTGATGAAAAAAAGTCCTTATTTGCTTTTAAGAAAAGTTGTTGACAGACCTTGAAAAACACAATCCCTTTGAAAAAAAAAGTTCTGCTGTTAAGGGACACGAAATATCAACAATTCCATTTTCTGCATCATTTCAGATTTCCACTTGGGAAAAAGACACACGAAAAAAAAAAAAAAAAAAAAAACAAAAAATCTCCTAAGATCTGAGAAAGGCCAGAAGTTCACCTCCAGCCGGGAGGCGGCTCGGTGCCCCCTCCCCTCCCCGCCCCGCCGCCTCCCGGGGCGCAGCGCAGGTGCCGGAGATGAAGCGACTCCGGCGGCAAAGCCGAGGCCGGTCCGGAGGCGGCGGGCAGGCGGGCTGCGGCCCAGCCGGAGCCCCCGAGCCCCGGCGCCCCCGAGCCCCCGCCGTCCCGTCCCGTCCCGTCCCGTCCCGTCCCATCGGGGCTGCCCGAGAGGCTCAGCCCAGCGCCGCCCCCAGCCCCGCTCCCCCGGTCGTCGCTTACCCGCGGAGCGCCGAGAGCCGCCGCGCCGCCCGCCCGCCTCAGCCACCACCGCGGCCGCTCGCCCGGGCCCCGCGGGAGACTCCCGGGGGCGGGGAAGGGCGCAGGTAGCACCGCCCGCCCCTGGCCGGGGGCGGGGGCTCGGGGCGGCTCCGGCCAAGGTTTCTATTTCGGTTTCCTGGAAGGCGGGAGCGAGCGCCGCCGCCCTCCCCCCCCCCGGCTCTGCCGAACGCTCTCGTCGATGTCCCGACATGTCGTTGGCGGTGGCCTTTCCTGGCGACAACTGCGTGTCACGGGCTGGAGGCGTCGGCGAACCCCTTCCCACGGCCCCTCGTGTTCCTACCAGCTTCCTGCACACGCTCAGTTTAAGCGTTATCTGGATAAAACTTCAGCTGAAACTCAGGGGGGAACTTAGGACAGCGATGTGAGGGATTTGTTAGTGGCAGTAGGATTAAAATACTTGGGGAAACTGTAGCATGAGTTTATTAATTACTAAAATAGGGTAGGACTACGTTTCATTTCTCATCCAAAAGGCAGTAACTCCCGCAGGACTGTGCTGCCCAGTAGCTCCTCTTCAGCGAATTAGTTTTTAAGGAGAGAAGTGGCACCTCTCGCTCACCAAAACCCGTTGCCACAGCACTAGGAGCTGATGAGCTGAACTTGTCTCAAGGTCTCATGAGACACGACCTGTGTTTTCTGTTATCTGCACTATAATGACGATTTGCTTACTGAAGTCAGTGGCAAAACTTTCATGATAAAGTTTCAGGACAATCACCTTAGGCTTCAGTGTTTATTATTATTACATACAACTCATTTTCTGTTTATATTATCCAGACACACTGACTCCCCTGTTTAAAGGTTATAAGTGTGCTACCTCTTTTACATTGTTCAAAACTGTTCAAAGTATGGCACAGATGACATTCTGAAATATGCAGGGATTCAGACTGACTCACCACTCAATTTTGTTTTCCTTAGCATCATAACTTAGTACGTGGTACACTGCTCACAGGATGAACCTCTGTTCACACATGGTTTCTTCTCCAAAATACACAGATGATAAATATACTGGCAAACCTCCATAAAGAAGTACGTGTCTTCTTTGTTGAGTTTGACCTTGTTCAATAGCACTGCTCAGTGCATTTGCTAAGAAACATCTGCAAAAAAAATGCAAGAAAGTTGAAGATGATTAAAGGAAGGAAAAACAGAAGAAGGAAATTAATGGGATTGAGGAAGTTGGTAAGCCACAGGACAGGTAAGAGGGAGAGAAGCCAGGCTTAGGAGAGGGTAGAATTGGCAGCACCTTGAAAGTGTGAGGTTACGGCTGAGTAACACATCCTTAACCTGTAGCAGCTCTCACCCTAGGATACCTCAGGTATTCTCTTTCAGGAATTTGCTTGGGTTATTAATTTTCCTAAACCCACAATTAATTTTAATGAAACCATTTTCGTTTTTTAGACTAGCTTCAAAGGGGGAAAGAGGAGGAGCTTTTCTCTCTCCACATCAATGAATTTAGGGAGGACAAGTCATAGGATTCCAGAGGAAACTCACCATGGAGAGATGGAGGAAACGCAAGTTTCTGCTCTGTGACATGCATATGTAGGATATAGATTGAAATATAGTATTTTAAAAGCAATCTACTCTCTATCTTCAGGATCATTCTGGGATACAAACCCAAGATAATCAGGGCACAACAATTACAGACCCTGACATACTAGGAAGCTACCAAGAGCTCTGCAGTGAAGACCTGCTCATAGATGAGTTGCAGCCACATGGCCCCCAACATACACTACAGATGCACCTGCAAGTTCTACATAAACGACTTTTTTTAAATACTAAAGAAAACGATGTTCTCTTCAGTCCACACCTGGGGAACCGTGCTGTAGGCCAGTGACTACTTCCCAGGTGTCCTGCAGCTCCCTGCCCCAACCACCGCACTTCTGATCCCGCAGGACGCGCATCCCGCCTCCCCCACATCGGCTCCGCTTTCGCATCCCTGGCGTGGGACCAGACAAACGTTTTATTTCCCGCTTCTTAAACAGCCAGCCTGCCAAGACCTACCCTCCGCGCCGGGCGGAGGAAGTTTCAGCCTTGCCGGCCGCCGTCGTCGTCGCAGCACGGCGGTCGGCGCCTGCGCAGAGGCCGTGGCCGGCGCGGCGCGGCCTGGTAATGGCGCACCGCGCGGGCAGGCGGGCGCTGTCGCTGCTGCGGGGCCGCCTGCACCTGCCCGGCCCGGCGGCGGCTGGCGGCCGGCTGGCCCGCCTCGGCTCCTCCGGCGTCGCGGCGCGGAGAGCGCCGCAGGCAACTGGCGCCGAGGAGGCGGGTGAAGGTAGGGGCCGCCGCGCCGCGTTCCTCTCGGGGCCTGGCCGCCGGGCGCGGCTGTTTTTGCCCCGGCGAGCGCCGAGGTCGGGCCGGGGAGCGGAGCGGCTTCGCCTCCCGGCGTGTTTGCGCCGGGCGGTTCGGCTCCGGCAGAGGCGCCCGGACATTACGTGTGCCCCTCGGGGCCCGGGCAGCCGCGGCCGGGGCCGTCCCGTGCTTCGCCGGCCGCCGCGCCAGAATCCGCCATCCTTGTCTAGACTTGGTGTATTAAGCGTAGGTAATCAGGTAGATGTAAAGTGACAGCGATAAACTCCCGAGAAACCCCCCTAAAAAGACACAGGGAACGTTTGATTGTTGCCGTGTCTTTAGGGCACGCCAAAAACCAGCGAGGACTGTTCGTTGCTGATGTGCTGTAACGGCGGTGTGCTCTGTAGCTGGTACACTGGCATTTGTGAGCCGGAGGCCTGCGAGTGCACTTACGTTCATGTTTCAGAGCTCGAAAAGCATTCGGTGGCAACGTTTTTTTGAAGAGAGACGATCGGGCTGTCCTACCACTTTCACGAAACCAAGGGTCTTTTGCTGTTCGTATCCCAGTACCAACAAATATGCAGCAATTTGGATTAAGGAAGTGTTGCAGATTTCAGTTAATCATTCTTGTTTTGGTATATAAATTTGATCATTAGTTTCACCTGGTTTGCTGCATGACTGTGTGAATACTTGCATTAGCAACCGCATGCAGCTATGACAGCATTGGAGTATGTAAGAGCATCATGTGGAGGAGGGGGCTGTTTCTTCCAAAAACAGTGCTGGTGTATACCTGCCTAAAATAATTGTGAAACTCTGTCACTGACTGGAAATGTTCTATGGAACAGGGAAAGAAAGCAAAGTGGATTGCCTCTCACAGATTTAAAATGCTTATAGCCACCATTTGGATGTGATTATCTGCATCTGTGCTATGCTTAGACTGTGCAAATGACAGCAGAGCCAGGAAGACGTGTCAGAGCATGTCTTCTGCAATTAGTAACTAAGCATCTACAGGTAGTAAGTCAGGCAAGAAGCACATAGCCACTCAGGCCTAATGCAGAGAGCTACAGGAGAGAGACGATCTGGGTGTATTTACTGATTGTGTCACTCATCCATGGGACTTGTCCTTTCTGCATCTCAGTCACTTCACACTACTTTGCCCCTACAGAAAATAGGATATTTATCATCTTCATAAAGTGCTTATTTGGTCTTCCAATTAAAAACGCTATATAAAACTAAGCTATTGTAAAACCTACTTTGGCCATTATTTACAAGCCTGTGTGAGAGTTCAGTAAACTTGTAAAATAAAATATTTTTTTCTTTAAATAATGCTGACAGGTGTCATTAGATGATAGTCAAGATTTTCTTGAGGTCACAATATCCCATGGGCTCCTCAAAATCAAAACCAGAGAACAAAGAGCTCTCTTGAATCTTTCTGTAGCAGATAGTAGCTGCAGGGAAAAAACTGCATGTCCTCCAGCTTCCCACTCTGAGTAACAAATGGCAGCATTAACAGGTAGCAACTTCACAGGCTTTGGTAATGTGAAGTGGTCAGTGGATTAGTTTGAGAGTTATGCAGGGAGGTAATTATGAACTCAGATTTGGGATGTGGCCCCTTTGCCCGTATACAATGAAAAAAAAAAAAAAGTTTCTGTGTTTCTGGATGTTCCAGCATGGCTCATTTCCATGTTAATTCTGTAGGCTGTCAGCAACAGTATAGATTGCCGGTAGTGTGGCGAGATATGACTGATCTGTCGGTTTATTGTAGTAAAGTAGATGAAAGTATAGTATTAAACAAAAATTCTGAGTAGGAGTTTACTGTAAAAGAAGGTGATGAGTTGTGAAAATAAGCAAGTGTTGAATTCTTCCGACGGTGAAAGTGCTAGTTTTGTGGTAGTTGAAAGAGATTATCTTTTCAGTGCAGTTTGCCAGAGGTCTAGCTCTGCCTCATACCCTAGCTGGTATTTCCAGACTCATCTGTAGAGTCTGACTGTGTGTACTGAGTTTTTTGATGGTGAACAGGAAATCAAGGAACAAAGATTCCTTGTATCATCAAGTTTCCTGTGGCATCAAGGGAAGTCAGTATTGTTTTCTTCCTACATTTCCTATTCCTTGTTATTAGAAATATGTGCATTTGTAAGAAAATTACGCTTATGTTTGTGTCTTTCATTCATCCTTGATTGTTTTCTCTGCTGCTGTAACCATCTTAGAGAGCCAGGACAAACCTTTGTTCATTTGCTCAATCCAGAGTAAGAGATTAAGTATACTAAAATCAGTTTTAAATCTTTCTGTTTGTATAGAAAAGCCTTGATGCTCATTTCTTCTCACAGATGCTGAAGTCAATAGCAGAAAGAAGACATTCATTGAGGTCCAAACAGAACGACTGGAGCAAGCAGAACGGACTGTTTTAATTAAGTGCCCACCAAAACTTAATGAAAAAAAATTATTGCAGTATTTATCTAGTCATGGAAACATTAAGAGTCATTTCTTGTTTGAAAATCGTGTAAGTAACTAACAGTGTAGACTAAAATCTAGACTTAGAAAGAAATACCAGCATTTGGTCAAGGTCTCATACATGCAAGTTAAGCGAATGATATATAAATAATTAGTATATTAAATTGCTTTTTATCTTTGTTAATGTGTGCAGGTTGCTGAGCAGCAGATTTTTATTCATCAGTCAACTAAGCAGTAACTCTTCAAAGGGATAGCTAGCAACCTGTTTTGCACTAGATCTTGTAAACTTTTAGAGCTAACTTTTTTATGTGTTTCTTGAGCATTGCAGTTGTGAAGATGAATAGATTTTATGACTTTTATGTTTAGTGCTTACTGCCAAGAATAGCATGTCTTAAATATTTTTGATCTCTTGTGAAAAAGTATCTAAAAAGCATTGAGGTACAGAACCTAACATTCAGCTTCAGGACTGTTGTATTAAACTGTCTCAGTACTCCCAGGAACATCTGAATAATATCAGTACAACCAGTTCAAGGCTTGTATGTATTTATCTAACCCTGTCTATTTCCATTCTTAATGTTTTAGGGTATCCACGCTTTAATAGAATTTTCGGAAAAGAACAGTGTAGCATCATTGCAGGATGCTGTTGGAATCCCAAGTGCTGTAGAGCATCATGTTGTTCCATTTAAATCTAGACTTTTTACTTTCACACTGAAAAACCCACTGAGTCAAGCTGCTGAAGAGACATCAATTCACCTCTCTCCTCAGTCTCATATTCCAGTGAAAGATCTTATTCAAAAGCTTTGCTGTGCAGACAGTGTAAGTAGAGGTTTCTACATCACTCTCAATTAAAAACGAACCGTGTCCGTTTCAGATTTGCAAGTGGTTGTGTGCAAATTGTAAAGCAGTTTATTTCTATTAAAAAAAAAAATAATCAGTTAGAATTCTATGTGAATGGTTTTCCTACATTGAAACTAACAGATTAAATTAGTCATTGTAATTGACAAAATAGTTTTTTCTGTATGAAATAAACAAGTTTGAGATTAAGAAAAAAATCTTCTAATTGCAATGATATTAAGTAGATGAAAATATATGTTAATAGATAGAATACGGGTCATTGTATTTTTACAGTGTTTATTTTCTTAACTAGATAAGCAGTCAGATGTACATTCTACTGAATGAGTATCAGCTTACAGAAGAAAATACCAAGCTCCGATTTCTGGCCTGTTCTCTGGTTCGGGATTTCACACGTGCGTATTTTCCAGACAGCGTGGTAAAGCCATTTGGCTCTTCAGTCAACACCTTTGGCAAACTGGGATGTGATGTGGACATGTTTCTGGACTTCCATGACACACAAAAGCATGCTACAAAAATGGTAAGATTATTCTGTGCATCTTCAGTCTGTTGGATTTCTTCAACAGTGCAGCTCATCTGCTGTTTCACACATAGCAATCAGTTTATTCGTACTTAGGTTTTACATGACTTCACACTATAGACTGTGAACAAGTTTATTTGAATGTTTGGATTTGAAGACTTTCAAAAACGATGTGTCCTGAAAGAGATCTTCCTTGCAATAGGAAGAAAATGATTTGGTGTTTATGTAGACTTTGTACTGTTAGGGTGAATTTCACTGTGAAAAAGCCATTCATCCTCAAAAATTGATGTCAGCAATGTCAGATCTTCCCATCTTACTGTTGTGTTTTCTTCTCTGGAGCTGCTGGGCTTCATCCATGTTGTTTTAAAGCTTGGCTTTTATTTTTAGGGTCCTCCATGTTCTAAAGCATAACAATTTTATGCCTGTGTGTGCATGTGGATTTTGGGAGGGTTGTCAGGTTCTTAGTTTAAAGAGTTGATGCTGTTCATGCTACAGAAAAGTTATTGAATTGAATAATGGGGTGCATATATATACACACATATATACACATAAGAGTGGGTGGAGGTGTGAAAATTTAAGACCCAGGATAGTATTGGTGAATAGTTGCAGGCGGCACACGTGTTCATATTTGTGTTGTCTGTCCAGAGAAAATTACAGTGTTAACAGCACCTGATTTTCATTGTGAAGGGAATTAGCTTACTCCTAAAAGGAACCTCAGATTAAACTGGTATATGTGAACTGTAGGTGTTTTGGGGACCAGGACCCAGGAGCAAAACAGGAACTGAGCCAGCTCCATAATGGAGCTACTTTCAGTTGCCAGACTTTCCATAAGATACTTCATAATTATTCAGATGCCTCATTGGTAAAACAGTGGTAAGCACCAAGACAATTGAAACTGAAATAACACTTGAATTTGCTGACTGAAGTACAGAGTTTGCATCGCTTCCTCAAGAAGCTGGAGGGTTACAAGACTGCCAGTAAACAATACTCAGTCAACAGTATTGCCTTTTTCAATGCACATTACTAAATTTCATCTTAATCATGTCTTTTAACCATACTACGATTCAGAAATCTGCATCATGTAACTAAGTTCACGTGTTTGGTGTTGGTATTTGGGCAGCTTCAAATCCTAATGGTTGTTTAGAGTAGGTTCTGTCTCAGTCCTCATGCATGTAGACATGAAAAATAGGACAGGACTAGATAAGGCATTTTTGGAAGGATCTTACCCCTTGCTGCTATATTTTGACTGGACAGTGTAAATATCCTTTTGTATTGGAGAATAAAATATGAAAGAGAGAGATGAGAATCAGGATAGGAAGAAGGAAGAGTTGCATCAGAAATATCCTGTGGAGAAACTGGGATTCTGAATGAGTAATTAAGTGATTCTGGCATTTTGAAAACTTTTCTTTTTATTTGTATGGTGACAGATAGTTTGGGAAAAACTAGCTTTGTTTCCTTAAGAAAAAATAAAAAAAAAAGACAATGGCTTAAGCTTTTGGAGATTGAAAATTCACTCAGCTTTTCTATACAGTTTGTATATTGCCATGTAAGTTACTTTTAAAGAAATATCCCTTCAAATTTATGTAGTTTTTAGTATTATTGCAGTGATCAAACACAATGAAAGCAAGTATGTTGGCTGAACTTCAGGAACATCTTGCATGTGTGGGAAGTGTTAAAATCTAGGAACCCTTTACATTTAAACAGTAAAGTTGCCTCTTAAATTTTGAAGGAAAAAGCTTTCAAGTATAACATATCTATTTTCAAAGCATGTTTTGTAACTAGCTGTTTAGTATTCATCCTCTGTAGAAATAAAAGTTCTGTTATGAACTTCAGAGTTACTCAGTGATGGACGGGGTTACTAGCCATTGTGATTACTTGTGGACAGTTGACAGACTATTACTCTGGGGATGCTGCAGCAAAAACCAGCTACAGGTGGACAACCTGCATCACCATGTCTTTCTAGGGAATCTCTGCGCTGGTGCCTGGAACACCTCCTCATACTCCTCCTTCACTGACCTGGATGTCTGCAGGGTTGTTTCTCTCACATTTGTATCACTCTCCCAGCTACTGTGCAGCATTTTTTACACTTTCTTAAATATGTTGTCACAGAGGTGCCACCAGCATTGCTGATGGGCTCAGCTTTGGCCAGTGGCTGGTCCGTCTTAGAGCAGGCTGGAACTGTCTCTGTCCATCATGAGGAGCAGCTTCTGGTATCTTCTAACAGAAGCCACCCCTGCAGCCACCCCACTACCAAAACCTTGCCATGGAAACCCAATACAGTAGGAAAACAAGGTGTTGGCTGTATCTCCTGTGGTAGGCAATAGACAATACTTTGGAGGAAGGCAAAAGTCTTATATAGTTGGCAGTGTGATTTATAGGGATAATGATATTCTCCCTGGCAAACTGTGGTACATAAGCTGACTGTCTTAGAACAAGTGAAGACAAGGGGAAGTAGGTATAGTCATAAGATGATACAGCAGCAGTGGAAAGGATGTCTTCTGATTTCTGCATTATTGCAGTCTTTCAGGAGGTACCAGCAGTGGAGAAGGACCAGGCATTTCAGCACCTATTTACATGAAGTAGTATTTTTTAAGCCTACTGGCAAAGTGATTGCTAATTGTGAATTTAAAAAACAGCAAAAGTGGGGGCATTCTTTATGAAGAGTGCATTATCAGTACAGTGTTTGACCACAGATACGGCATTTTTAACACGTGAGGAGTTTGGGAGATCAGAGAGTGACTCTGTTTTGAGTTCTGTGATATTTTGAGAGTAACAGTTTTTGCGTTAAAACAGTTATGCTTCTTGCTGAGGGTATTATATCAATTTACCCCAAAGTAATGGTTTATCTACATTTGCTGTTCTGAGCAATGTGGCAAGAATAGGGGGAGAACCACAGTGTTGAGGCAAGTGTATCAGTACTTCATCCCACGCAGCTGGCACCAAAGCTATATGTGAAGGTCATATCCGTTATTAAGAGTGTCTGTTTTATCATTACAAAAAAGTTTTCATTCAGCTTTTGACAGATACTGAGCTGCTGTCTGGGAAGGTACATTGTGATTTTTGTCACAAACACAGGGGTCTGAACACCACTACCCCCACGTGTCCGCTGAATCCCCGTCTTTTTCTTTCCTGCTACCTACCTCAGTGCTGAGAGTTACAGACTCCTTTTCCTTTGAGCCAGCCCTGCTGTAGCAAGCAGTTACACAGCCAAACGGGATTAGGGACCTCTGTCCTAGTGTGTTGAAACACGCATGCTGGCTGGACAGCTGTTGGCAAGGAGAGCCCCAGGGATTGCCAGAGCGACTCAGAAATTCAGCACCTGAAGTGAAGTTTGAGGGAAAGGTTGCAAGGTCCAGGACTTCTGAATTGTTTCACCTGTCTGTGAGTGGATGTTTTCTTCGCACTAACCTGATGACAACAAAAGTAACCTCCTCGGTTTCTCAGAGGACTAGTTAGGTCACTGCATAATGCTGTTTGTATAGTATGCATTCACTCATGACATGTTCCAAGGGGTTGGACAAGTCAGTGTCAGGTATTGGATTAAGAAGCAAAATTAGCTGAGGTTTAAAAACATAGACCATAAATAGAACAGAGATTTCATACATATGAAGTTATTTTATTGAGGTATAAACTACAAATATGATAATACAGAATGAAAAGATCTACTGGAAAATTCATGTCTAATATCAAAATACATCTCCATGTGGTGTTTTTTTTTATTTGTGAGAAAAAACTGTCTGATGTGATTATTTTAAGTCTTATAGAAATTTGCCTTAATTTAGAAATGAAGTTACTTTTTGATTTGAATCACATACTCTTGATGAAATAATTTGCATGCTAAAATTTTAAATTTCTTAAAAATGAAAACGACATTTTCCTTTACAGTGCTGCTTGATTCACTTATAGCACATGGGTCTTTGAGGGTTTGAAATGGAATTACTGGTGGTTTGAGATTAACAGTGGTTTGATTGTGTTTTGCTCATCTTTTTAATTTAATTGTATTTTTCAGTCAGAGGATATATTCTGTTGGGAATTCCAGAATTACTTGTTTTAGGCAATAGTGAGCTGTAGTAGTATTATACTGTCACCTGAACAAGTAACTTTACAGTAAATTGATCACTGTTAACCTGGGAAAATAATGTAAAAGAGGAAGCAGTATGCTTTTACCTTTTTAAAGTACTGTAGGCTGCTTTGAATAATTCTTGGTTTTCGATTTCTTGTTGTACAGACTCCTATGCAAACTGGTGTAGTCTTTCAGAAGTATTCTTAAATGTCACTTTCGTTCCAGAACTAACATTTTACTTTTAAAATTTTGTGTTAGAAAAAAGGTCCTTTCGAAATGGAGTATCAGATGAAAAGATTACCATCTGAGAGATTAGCAAATCAGAAAATTCTTTCTGTGATTGGTGATTGCCTTGATAATTTTGGTCCTGGATGTGTGAGCATACAGAAGATACTCAATGCTCGCTGCCCACTGGTGAAATTCTCCCATCAACCAACAGGATTCCAGTGTGATCTGTCAGTGAGCAACAGGTGAGACCTGGTCTTAGAAAGTTTATGAAGAATACTAATGTACTTATGTTCTGAAAACCTGTAATGAAAACTGTTTAGTCTGCTCCTTTCTGTGTTCTTAACAAATGTGAATGTTGGCTCTAAAAGCATAAAGGATATTTTTGACTTCTAGAGCCTAGGTTTTAATGTGCTTAAGATATCTCTCTCCAGCATAGGAAGTACTTGCTAGCTGAAACTGAAGACTTGAAAACCATGCTATACAATAAGGTTGGCTTATACGGAATTGAAAGAAGGCAGTGTTCATTAGACATTACTTCCCATGTGGGTATATAAACAGCCTTCTTTTGATTGCTTTTCAGATTAAGCAGCTACATTGTGTTAATTTTCAGTGATTGGGCTTCTATTTATTTTTATGTCCTTTTTTTTTTATTAATTTAAGGGCCTGCATCCACCTGTTTGCTGTCAAGGTATCCTGAATGCTAAATTAACTCACTGCATCAGAAAACTGAGTCCTAAAGAGTTTACTGTCATTTAGGACCTTTCACAGAAGTGTCCAATAGAGGGAGCAGGCTTCTTAAAAATACCTCTCTTGGCATCTATTTTTCCTCTTCTAGCTTGCTCTCATTTGGTTGATAGTAAAGCATATAATTTGTTTTGCTGTCACTTATTTTATTAAGAAATATCCACCTTAATCTATACATCTGTAGGCCTTGCATAAAGGTACATAATCCAAAATGAATTACTAACCCTTTTCATTGTTAGGGAATAGTAAAATATGAGTGATTATCTTTCAGAATACTTTTGATGTGACTTTCGGTGCAGATTTTGTGACTTGTCTACATTAGATACAGTCAAATCCTAGATTGAATTTTCTGAATTACCCAAAGTTCTGTTTCAGAATATGGAGGAGTGGTTAAGGTAGTACTGAGCAAATGTCTTACAATAAAATTACTTTTGTATAAGTAGCCACAGTGAAAGTCAGTATGCAGTTCTGTGCAAACTTCCTTGTAGTTCTCTGCTAACAGTTCAGCTGGTTGGAACTCTGTGTGTTGTCTTGTTATCATTTGGAGTAATAACAAACCTCTGTGGGCACAAGGAAGCACTTCACAGTTGAAATTTTAGAAGCCCGGGTGTTACCAAACTTTGACATGGTAAAATTCCCCAAAATGCCATGGTGGATTTTTAGAAGAATTCAGTGCAAGACTGGGAGTAAAAACTCCTGCAACTGTAGTTCAGCAAACAGTTAGACTAAAACTGATGCCAAAGTAAGTTTCACTGCCAAACTGCTCTTCCATTTTTTTTTTTCTGCTTTTTCTTGCCCTCCCATTTGTACACTACATGAATATTTGTATGACCATATGATGAAGCATATAAAAATGTGATCCAACTAAAAACCTTTATCCTTCCAGATTAGTTGTTTTTTCAGCAGAACCAAACATTAGCAATTTAAAAATTAACAAATTGACTTGTTTTGCAGATTTTATTGTGTCTCTGCACTTCCTGTATTTTTCAGTGCATCATTTTATTACTTTTTAGATTTAAGTTGTAAAAGAAGTTCTAGTTGTATTTTGTTATATATTAGGATAGAGGGATTATCTAATGTACCTCAAAGGCAATTGTAGCTAAAGCCTTGATTCTGCATATTTTTACTTGTGAGTACTTGATGGTGGTTTTTTGGTTTGGTTTGTTTTTTTTTTTTTTTTTTTTCTCCCACTGTGATGTACGACAAGGAAACAGGAGACAGTGCAAATGCAGCATTATTATTTACCCATAACTGTATCCTTCTTACTATGGAGAACTACCAGGTATTTCATCCTGGACAATTTTAGGCATTCTCTTCTGTTTTTTTAAATGCATAGATAGAAGCTAAGTGTTTTGTTGTTTTTTTTTTTTTTTTTAAGGATACCCTCTTCCCTTATAACTGGTGCTCTAAGGCTGAACAACGAGCGCTGCATCTGGTACTTGACAATTTTCTCATTATTTACATGTCTTTTACTTTTCATTTCTTCTTCAGCATTGCTATAAAAAGTTCAGAACTCTTGTATATCTATGGCTGTCTTGACTCCCGTGTAAGAGCACTAGTATTCAGTGTACGATGTTGGGCCCGTATTCATGGACTTACAAATAGTGTCCCTGGTACCTGGATTACAAACTTTTCTCTGACCATGATGGTCATGTTTTTTCTGCAAAAGAGGTCACCACCTATCATTCCAACACTAGACCAACTTAAAGAACTGGCAGGTAAGGACAGTTGTTCCTGTGTTTATTGAAGTGACTTTCACATTTGTTTTGTCTAAAGTGATGAATAAACCCAAGCAATTTCTTTATGCTCTCAAATACTAATGTATATTATGTATGCCTTAAGTTTGAGAGAATATGAAAGTTTTGCTTTGGGGTTTTTTTGTGAAAATAATGCATTTTTAAAGGCAAATCGATTTTTCAATACAATACTAAGTTCTACGTAGAGATAATTAAGAGTCATTCATTTGCTCAATGCCTCCATGCTGTCTGGTTTTGTTTATTTTGTGTTTTGGTTTTTAGAAGACTCATAAGGTCTCCAATGTCTCTGCAGTTGTTAAGGATTTTGTGCAGATTGATGTGATGTGTATTGTTTTATAGAAACCAAATGTTTAAAAGAAAGGCTATATTTTTCCCTCACAATTTGTAATATCCTTGAGTCTGTTCAGGCCATCTGCAAATAATTCTTATATCTTTGCAAACAAGCTGTTCTGGCTGTTCCATGCATAGCTTTTAGGGTATATTATCTTCAGTAAATCTAATGAAAGCATAGAGGATGACACCCCAAATTCTCAATTCTTCACTCATGCCTTCTGCTTATTAACATTTTTCCTTGGAAGCGTTCAGTGGAGAAAAAGGTCTGTGTTCAGGTGCTTTAAAATCAGTTTAAGCATTTCCATCAGAATTCTATAGAATTTTTAAACATAAACCAAAACACCTGTCCTGAAATTTTACAAGAATATTCCTAATTCTCTTAAATTTTTCAAAAAAATATGGTGGACACTTTGGTTCTGACTTTTTTGAAATCCTCATGTAGGTATTGACTTCAGAGATTTGTGCTGCATAGTATATGATAAAGCTCTGTATGCAGAGATATCAGGTTTGTTACTTAAGTAACTTCAGGGACACAAAGATGCCATATACCTTATTCCTGTAGGCTTTTGAAAATATGCCATTTACTCACTCTTCCTTTGCCTGTCCATAGATTTTTTTTTTTTTCTTTTAAATCTTTAACCACTTAAATTGGATCTTAACCTGAAAGTTCACTTGTGAACTCCTGATTTGATTTACCTAATGTGATAGCATTCATTGAATTCAGTCATGTCTGTTATCTGAATTTTATTAAATACTATGGCATTTTATTGTTTATCACTTCAAAATATGACTGCGATTTTTGTTTCAGATGACAAAGACAAGCATGTGATTGGAGGATACGATTGCTCATTTGTTAGTGATTTAAGCAAGATTAAACCTACAAAAAATACAGAAACACCAGGTAGGTAAATCTTTATCAACTTTTTTTTTTTTTTTAAATTTTTATGAGCATGTTAAAAATAAACTTTTTGTTAATGTTACTGATGGCTATTGATTTTATTTCCCTTAGATGTATTATTGAGTGAGTTTTTTGAATATTTTGGAAACTTTGATTTCAGAAGGAATTCCATAAATCTTCGAAAGGTAAGTGAATTTTAATCTCATCATTATCAGCTGAATTTCTTTGTCTGCTCTTTGACAAACTACATACACTAAATAACAATTTCTGTAATTTTTAATTGTATATACAAAATACTTTTAAATTGGTTGTATCCAGAAGCTGAGTCCTTTCTGTGAAGGGATTTTTCCTCTCAGAGCCTAATCATTTACAGCACCATTAAGAACATTACAGTGTCATTACTTGGAGATACTAAAAACCAGAAACTGATGCTAAGCCTCTATAATTTTTCATGGCAACCCTCTGATAAAAGTGGTGGTTTAAGAAGTAGAAACTATTTTCTGTAAGAGGGAAACTTTTAAAATGTCATGATGTACGTCACAGCAGAAGTCTGTGATAAAACCTGTAGACCAACAGGCTTTGCATTTAAAGTGAGAGTCCAGATCCAAACAGTGCCTGCATTAAAACTTACAACTGAGTTCTGAAATTTGCTTTTGGCACTTGAGTTTCCTACTGCAGTTTGCATCAGCCTACAGTAAGTGTACTTACAAGTCAGTAAGCGTGATGGATAACGTGATTATTTGTGCTTGCCAAGAGGTCTGCACTATCACTTGGGTTTACTTCATATGTTTAAGTCATGCTATTTATTGATACATGTGCGTGTGCTTGCAAGTATTATAGAAATATATATAAATGTAACTACCTTAACTCACACATGCTCATTCTAGGCTGCTTACAGGATGGGGGGGTTCAGTGCCATATTGCTGTGTGGACACTCTTGTTTGTGTCCTGTTTCCCTCTTTTTGTTGCTGCAGTTTGATCATAGAAACTGATTGATTAAGCTGGAGGACTTTTGTTTGCCATTAAGCCTTAAAAAAGGCAAGCAAAAACATACACGTGTTGGGGCCTGAGCTAGTCAGGGGAAATGCCTGTGCTGCTGATGTTTTTCTGTTTAACTGGTCAGTCCTCTTGGCCCTGGCACAAGAGTATGTAGCATGTACGTGGACACTTCCTGGACTAACAGTAGCTGGTAGGTTCCTGCTAGAGCTTGCACAGAAGGCTTGCAGAGGTTCTGCAATACAGAGCAGGTCAGGTAAGTATCACTGATAAGCACTCAGATGGAAGTGCATTTATTAAATAACAAACTACATAGTTGTCCACAAATTGCATTGTACTATACCATGTGCCCCAAAGTGGACCATGACCTGAATAGCTCTGTACTTAAAAGACGGATTGAACTGGGAGGAATTTAAGCCAAGACAGTAATCTTGTTTTGTTATACTGACTCTTAATGAGCACTGTGAGACAAATGGTTTGAACAGTTGTAATGCTTGTAGTACTTTAACAAACTGGGCTGTGCAGGTTAATACGACACACTTATGTTGCCCATACACAAATGGAGATAGGAGTAGGAGATTGCAATGAGTGAGGTCTGAGGGTTGTGGAAAAGTCAATGGGAGAATGGCCAAAAGACAGGCTAAACTATAGTTATGTGCTCTTTGCCTTGAAGGAAATCTAAGCTGACTGTGGCAAGAAAAAACACCACTAAGAGGATACAGAGAATAGGAGTCATACAGTCAGGTTGACAGGAAAATTAACTTGATTAATAATGACTGGGGGTTTTGGAAAAAGTTCTCTACTAGGTCAAAATACTTCTCATGTAATATCTGAAGTGATTTGTTATTTGCTCAGCCTATGATGCACATATGCAATGTTGGCTTTTTCTTTACACTGTCTGCAGGGAAAGGAAGTAAATAAACCTGAGTCGTCTCCTCTTTATATCTGGAATCCCTTTGAACAAGACCTTAATATCAGCAAGAATGTTAATCAGCCACAGCTGGAGAAATTTGTAGCTATGGCCAGGGAAAGCGCCTGGATTTTACAGAAGGAAGATAATAATCAGCGAATGATCAATAAAGAGCCTTGGGGACTGGCAGCCCTACTGATACCATTTGGAAAAAGTGATCACAGCAAGATGAAGAACAGGATAAAAGGCATAGGAAGTGAAACAATCAGAAGCCTCTTGGACTCTTTAAAGTTAAATAATGCAAGCAGTCTACAAAAAGCAGTGGAAAAGTGACTTTCAGCATACAGTAGCTGATATTCTGTTTTAGGAATTGAATGTGACACACAGTCCAAAAAACAGTACTTTTAATATTTCTGTTATGGTGAAAGAGAGAGTTAAATGACCTCTGTTTTCCGTTGTGATGCTTTTTGTACAGGTCTGTTTTCTTTCTGTACATTTTTCTCCTTACTCTTCACGTTTCCATCTGGTTTGTGAATGAAGAGCATTCAAATGCAAGTTTTACAGATACATTTTGGAAGTAGCTTTCAGCTGGGCATGCTAAAAAAAAAAAAAAAAAGAATAAAAAAAATGAAAAAGACTGACAGGAGCAGCATGGGAAAAAGCCCTTGGGAATTCTGTTGGCTAACATACAAATGATATGCTAAGTAAAAGTTCAAGAAACAACCTCCTTTCAGTGAAACCACAGTTTGAAAGAAGATGAATGTTAGAACCATTGCTTCCATTCCAGCCATGTTCTGGAAGCCAGTAAAACCAAAGTGCATGTATCTACTTTTGCAATTGATTTCTATTCACATAGATGGTGCCAAGACAAAATAAAGAGAATGGAATTAGATAGTAAGGTTTGCCATTTCATAAAGCACTGCTCTTCAAGGGTAGTACAACTGGTGGTTTTGCTCTTGTGTTTACCACCTGATCTCAAATTTTTTCAGTCAACGCTCTTTTGTTTTCTGTACCCATAGGACTGGTTCCCACCCACACTTGTGTATACACTCGTTTCTCATTTTGCCTTCTCCTTCACTTTAAACCTGTATTTCAGGTTCAGGCAGGGACTTTTGCATGCCCTTCTTGCCTCATCAGTCTCCTCAGAGTTGCTGCCTACTAGGCAACACCAAAGCCTTCCTCTGGCAGAAAGATCCATCCCTTCCAGAGATCCATAGGGAATCATGTATTGTGCTGGAGGCCTGTTCCCAGTCTTACTTTGTTTTTCAGGTATTCAGCAGAACAGTTGACTGTCCCCCTTCCAGATCAGGTGGGCCAGCGGGAGTCAATGCTTCTCCTTGACTTAAATCATTGAGTTCTGTGTCTATCTGCCACAAAAGAGAGTGGTTTCAGAGGAAGGGGGAGAAGAGAGGGAAGGAAGAAGTCAGAAAGGGAGATCCACCTGTGCATTAAAACTAAATGGCAACGGTGATAACAACTCTACAGACTGTTTATTCTTAACAGAAATGCCATACAGGAAATTACAGTAACTCTTTATCATACAGGTGCAACATTGATGATGATTACTGTTTCATTTTCAGTATTTTTAGATTCTTCAGTGTTGCAGTGGTGTATGATTTTGTGTAGGCTTGGTTTTTAATGGGGTAGCCTGAACATTTAAAATGTGTTTTCTCCTTTCCGTGAGGAAATACTGTGGGCAGTAATGCATACTTCCAAAGTACTTTCCAGCAGTTGGCAGACTAAAGGGTTGGACCTTGAGTGGCAGGAAGACCCTCTTACAGATCAATTCCATATTAGTGTATTTGGAATTTTAAATAATATTCATATGTGTCCATTTCCAATTCATAAATGTTTTCTCAAATAGTGACTCACATAGTCATTATCTTGGTCACAAGAATTAATTCTCATATTAACTTATTTGAGATTGAACCTTGAATTTCAAATTTAATTTTATACCTAAATCCTGGTGCTAGTCTATGAACTTTTTTTTGGAGGCTGGTATGAAGTTTGTTGTAACTTGTTACTGGTGCTAACCCAAAGCCTTTGAAAACAAGGTTGGCACTGATGTGGTAAGGAGTCTGTTGCTACCTTAATCTTTACAGAACCTGGAGATACATTTTCTGCTGTTTCACCACCAATAAGACTGAAGGTTTTTGGAGATTCGGGCAGTATTCGAGTACTTGTGAGTTTTCTTTTTTCTGGCTATACAACATGGGTAATACTGTAGAGCAACAATAAGAAAATGTCTTATCAGAGACAGAAGCATACAGCAGAACTGTGGCAGTATACACCTACTTGTGTTATATTCACAGTGGTTCACCCTGACATAGATGAGAAAGATTTTATGAGAATTTTGACACATACACACAGAACACTTGTGGTCAAATATCAGTAAACTTTTTAATTTGGTTGTACGGTTAGTTGAGCCACGCTGAAGCAGACACTTCATTTATACATGTGTATAGGCGTTCAAGCTGCTTAGTATTCCTTAAAAGGCAGGGCAGAACATGGTTACTGTCCATACTGAGCCTTTCAGCATCACTTTTCTGTTTAGACTGCCTGTCCTTTTCGGGGATAGTTCTGAACCCTTGTCATGGCTGCAGGCCAGTTTCTGAAAAGAGAGAAGCCAAAAGCAATGTTGTAGCAATGGAAATGCGCAGGTGATTGCTTCAGATGTCTGCAAGTTCAGAGAGCTGGAGGCCAGCTGCTGAGTGAAGCCTAGAGACTTTGAGGAGCAGCTATCATTGATGGTATAAATAAGCCCTACTGGAAGCTTTCATAGATGCTGCTAGCTGGAGACCTGGCCGTAAGCTTCCCTGGAGCATGAGCTGTGTCTGGGGGAAGAGCTGCGTGACGCTGGTGGAACTGAAGCCACCTGTGGGAAGAGAACCAGAGAGAGAAGAGGAGGACCAAGATTTGAGGGGGTGTATTTAGCAAATGAAGAGAAATGGTGTGATTATAGTTTCCTGAGGGCAGCAGCCTTATCACATTGAAGATGGTTAGGCACAATCAATATGGTTCTGCCAGTAAAAACAAACATTGGCTATTTGTCAAGAAAGGACTGTGGTGATGGTCTGGACTTGAGAGCTTGTTCTTATCATCCAAAAACATGTAAACAATGTCTCGGCAAGAGTGAGGCAGTAAGTTTTAGTTACTTCTCAAACTTGGCACCAATATGCTATGTTGTAGGGTAGAATTGTAGGGGAAGACGTGTAAGGAACATCAGTGAATTAGACACATTTTTGCTCCTCTGCCCCTTCCCCTCAGTGGTAATACTTTTAGTGCAGTCTCACATTCCCTCTTAACTGATTAGGGACACTGGAAACATTTAAAAGTTCCTTGCCCTGAGAAAATGTTCTCTGGGACACTAACTTCAAGTTAACTTTTGTTGCCAAGGATTTTTTTTTTTTCCCCCCTAGGTGTTTGATGCTCACAAGAGTTTCAGGAATGGGCTCTGCTGCAGCTGCCGCTGCTCCATCACTCCTCTGTAGCTTCCTGGGAATCTGCAGCCTTGGTCTACAGTTGGCTGCCTGTTGAGCATCTGTGTGTGATGCTTATGGCTAAGACAGTCACAAAACAGACTTCTTGGCTGGTAATAAGATGCTCTATTCTGCCTCAATTTCAAAACTACAGTTTCTGCCTGGGATTCTGTTCTTTAGACTTTGGTTCACAGTATAATTCAGGTTGGGAGAGACCTCTGGACCTAGTCCTGCTTCCTCCTGAAGCAGGATCAGCTGTGAGATTAGAGCAGGTTCCTCAAGGCTTTATCTAGTCAGGCCTTGAAAATCTCCAAGGATGGAGACTACACAGTCTCTCCAGACAACCTGTTTCAGTGCATGACTGTCCTCGTCACCCCGATGGGCTGGTCTGTAGTACACTGCCACATCCTTGTCACTCTTGCTGGCTTCTTTTCTGATCCTGACTCATACTCACAATCAGACTGCCATCCATCACAAATGTTCAAGCTGCTCTTTCATGTAGAGTCCCCCCAGTCTTCCTCCTCTGTCCCGAGGAACTTGTATCCATCCACTACAGTGCACCCACCACATGCAAGCTGTTATATCTGTTATTCCAACAGTGCTGTAGTAACAGCACAAGAAGCTCTAGTTCCTCCTGCTTGTTCCTCAGGCTGCCACAGATTTGCATCTGTATGTTTGGGGTGGGTGCCTGTTCATCCTTTTTTACTGTTCTTGAGGTCCCTCTTGTTCCCATCACCTTGTATCCTTTGCTCTCAACCTGTTTCCACTGCTGCCTCATGTAACTGTGCGTTATAATTGTCCTCCCTTACTGTTCCTAGCTGAAAGCCATGATATGGCCACTGCTTTTGCCCAGCTTGCCAAGTCCCCGTGACATTCAAATTCTGCCTAAAAAATAGTTTCTAAAAGGATCTGCAGGAAAATAAGAGGTTGCGAATACCAGATTGGAATTGCAGAAAAGCAACAGAAAACACCTTTGTGCCACTGCAGGGGAGTGTGGTGGAAACATCTGGGCCAACCTCAGCTGTGCTGCTGCATCTGCAAAGGAGCATGTAACACCCCGTAGAGACACTTGTGCAGGTATCGAAGCAACAAAAGCCTGGAGATGCAGCACTGTGCCCCTTGGACTCTGCCGCCCAGCAGAGCTCATCAGCTTGGATTTGGCGTGTTGCTGATGCTCAGTTACATCTGGGCCCAGAGCTGTCGGGCTCTCAGCTGCAGCGTAGCTGTACTCCGTGCTCGTGCTGGGTCTGTGGTCATTGAGGAAACATGTTCTTACAACAGCACGTCTTCGTTCTTGCAAATGTATTTCTGAGTTCAATTTAGTTTATACTCTCCAGGAGGTACGGGCTATCTTTTTACTTGATGCAATTTTGTGCCTTTGGAAAAAGGAGAGATAGACAAAGAACGTTTATTTAAATAATTTTGCCAACAAACTAGTTAAAGGCCCATGCCAAGTTCAACCAAAGCAAGTTTAGGATTTCCAGCCTCAACTGCTTTGGGGATATGATGAATCAACAATTAGGAAGGTTTTCAAAGCTAGATCATCCTGTTCACCGGAAAGCTCTCTCTTCCAAATGCTTTGTTTTGCTTATGGCAAAATTACCACCAAGGTTCTCTTTTTAGTACAAAATTCTTCTAAATGTCATAGGTAATTTGGGGACAGTTTGTTTAAAAGAAGGGTTAGGATTTATACAAGGCTAACCTGGGCCTGGAGATAAAACCTCTTCCTCCATAAATCCTCTTAGTTGAAAGTCTGCTTTTGCAGACCTGTTTCTCATACTTTCTTTAAGTAGAGGGTTGTTTTGCTTTCTTCTGTAGGATCTTCCTGCTTCTTTTCCCTCTCCCCACCTGATCTGTAAAAAATAGTATTTCATCTGACCCAGAGTATTTTGTGGAGTAATAGTGAATACAGCTGCATTCAAGAAACAGATAGGGTTTGAAACATGACTCTTGCACTGCAATGTAAGCTTTTTCAACATCTTAATTTCTTGTGTAGATTGAGTCTCCATGCTGCCTTTTCTGTGGCCCATAGAGGGATCACTTAGCTGGACTTGATGGGCCCCTCTTACACTGAGCAAGTGTTTTTAGGAAGTTTGTTCATTTAAGAGGCTTGTTTAACACAGTGTGTAGTATTAGAAAGTAGTACTTCCCTACAAATTTTTTGAGATGATTTACCCTTCAAAATGATTTCTGTTTTTCCCTGTTGTTATGGGGAAAACTATGTTCAATTTGTTTCACAGAAAGACTTCAGAGATAGGTTTTTGTTCCCATGCTGAGCTCTCTTATGCATACAGATTTGTAGTCAATGTAAACAGTGCAGCCCTGTACAGGAATCTTGCATGGAACAACTCCCAGAATATGTCTTCTAGGTATTATCCTCACAGACCGATGGGGGAGGTAAAAGCCCCATGAATTACTAAAGCATAGCCTCCCATTTGTGTTGCTGACTCCACGGGGTGGAACAATTCCCGTAATTCTGTATTGCTTTTTCTCACGTTGGACACAGGCAAAACTCTGCTTTCCTGAAGAGAAAAGGTACATATGTTAGAAGTTGGATTGTAAGGTTCAAAAGCAGTATTATTTAAATTCTTTCTGAATATTTATATGCTAAGTTTGATTTTTTAAAGTCCTTCTCTAGGAGCTGTTGCTAGAGATTTTCAGGATGAGGGAAAAAACTGCGAGAATACATAAAGGCTTCATATTTCAAGTAATTAGATAAATGGTAATTACTATTAGATTAATTATCAGAAATAATTATACAGTGGAAAGTAACACATGTAACAACCCAGTCATAGCAAGGAGCACTGCCTTGTCTCTTTGAACCAAATTTCCTCTCTTAATGTTCTGTGGTCCTCCCAAGTGGTGCACTCCTTTTATAAAAGGATGGGATTTGGGAGAGCATACTGAATAGAAATTATAATATCCAATACATGGGAGAGTGAGTATTTAGCTACTGCAGTAAATAAAAAAGAAGCATTACTGACTCCATCATGAAATGAGATTCAGCAATTTTGTGACTCCAAAAATACAATATAGAGAATTGTTCTGTGGATCTTTAGGTGATTCATACTCCTTCCTTTTGAAAGGTATCTTTGGACACATATCACAAGAGGGATTGCTATAATTGCTTGATATCTGAGCTTGCAAAGTAAGGTCTCATTTTGAAATGACCATGATCTGTTTTGCTGAAACACTAAAGACCTTAACTGTTACAGTTCTGCACTAAAATCCATGTTTAAGAGGGTTTGCATTGCAGTTGGCTTAGGAATATGGAATATTATCATTTTCAGTTTTCCAAAAAATGCAAATGCTTACAGATAGCAACAGACTTTCACACTTCTCCCACTTAGACTGTATGATTTTAGTTCTGCTTTTTACCGTAGACCATATTTTCCATCTTTGAAATGTTTTGCAGCAATTAATTTTATATTTATTCTAGAAGATAAGTAATAAAGTAAAAGATCTCCTCTGTATTTGTTCAGTACATCACTGTTCCATTGTGTCATTCAAGTAATTGATGAGATAAAGAATAAAATATCTGGTGCTTTCCTTCCTCAGGTGTGGGCAGAGGTTTGTTGCATACTGAAACAAGGATGCATTTTGTAGAGCAATGGTTTTGAACTGTTGATCTCTGAACCCCTCGGTGTCCAGGGAACTATGTCTAAAGAGCTCAACAAAAAAAGCAAGGA